TATTAAAAATATTTGAAGCGTTTTAAGTCAAGATTTTAAAGTTTTAAAGTTTAAATCGTGTTTTTAAAAATGTGTCTTCTTCGATTTTCGCTAAAAAAATTTATTTTCAACTTCCATCTATTCAACAACTATTCAGCCTGGTCCGGTAGTGAGCCTTCCATAATTACTATTTTTTTTTAGAAACTTATAATTTAGAATTTTTTTTTTAATTTTGAAAAATCGAAAAAAATAGTTATTATGGAAGGCCCACTACCGGACCAGGCTGAATAGTTGTTGAATAGATAGAAGTTGAAAATAAAAAATTTTCGCGAAAATCGAAGAAGACACGTTTTTAAAAACACGATTTAAATTTTAAAACTCAAAAATCTTGACTTAAACCCTTCAAATATTTTCAATATATTTTTTTAAAAAAGAACATTTAAAAACGAAAATTTTATATAGAATGAACATTTTGATTTGGACCATTTTTTAAGAACCCGTGATCAAAAAAATCTCAAAATTTACTGAGAAAGCTCTTTCAAGGAGTACTTAAAAATATAAAAAAATTGGAGGAATCAAAAAAAATTTTTAAACCATCCGATTTGGCGTGGAATGCCCCATATACCTATATACAGTAGGGTGGGTCGATTTTTGAATTTTAAAACGCCTGTGTCAGAAAAAGTTGTGTATGGGACTAAAAAAAATGTAGGTATTTTTATTTTTTTTTAATTTAAAATTTAAGCCCCCCACTGGCCCTTCAAAAATTATAAAATAAAAAAATTCAAAATCAAATTTGCCTGTATTAAAAATGTTTTTGTAATTGTTGTTTATAAACGCAAAATAATATATTTTTATAATTGGAATGCATTAACAGCCCCCGCCCGATTTATTTATAATATTTAGACGTATGTATTTTTTATTATAGTTTTACTATTATTGTATTTTATTCACCTTTTTGTATAAATTAAATATTTAATATTATAAAATATAATATATTTTTATTTTCAATTATAAATATGGCGGCGGGCGTAAAGCGTAAGGTTTCTACTCGGCAGTCGTTTCGCGATGCCGTATTTGGTGAACCTCGTGACTTAAGTGAAACGGTACTGCCGTGTTATGAAGATGTAATGCGGTATTTTCTATTTGTACAAAACAATTTAAGTGAACACACCACTAAAAATAAAACTGTTGCTGAGATTTCCAAACTGGTAGTTGACAAGGTACAAATAATTTGGTGGAAAGCCAGTTTGCCTACTATATCAAACCAGCAATGTGTTGCACTACTTAAAAAATATCACAAACAATTCATGGATCTTAAAAAATCTCTAAAGAAAACAAGTAGTTATGCCCGAAATAAATTACAATGTTTCCAAAATGAATCGAATAAAAAGCTTTTCGATATTTCGACATGCAAGTGCAAAGAACTTCCATCGTGTGCTTGTGTCAAGTTAAAGAAGGTCCCTAAATTAGAACATGAATTTTTAAAAGATCAGAGAACCACAAGGATAATGTTTATGGGAAAAGTGGATGCCAAAAGCACTAGAGTTTTAAAGCAAAGGCTAGAAAGAAAAGGAGAAACAGCTAGCTGCAGTGGTTTGAAGTCCGAGGCAAAAACTCAACCTAACGAAGTTTTTTCAGACTCATCATCGCAGCAGGATACCGATTCCGATGAAGAATTTAATCCAACATCCTCTACCAGCGCAAAAGACATATCACTTGCCCTACCGTCACTTGCAAAAGCAATAGATCGAGCAGGATTATCGAGTCGCAAAGGTGCAATGATAGCCAGTGCAGTCCTTGAGGATGTTGGTTTAATCACAAAAAGTGACACATCTTACATAATCGATAAGTGTAAATTGGATCGCCAAAAAAAAAGAGCTTGGCTCGACTTACAAAAAAAAAGTGCACAGGACGGCAAAATTTTACAAGCCCTTTATTTTGATGGACGCAAACCTTCCACATAAAAAGCAAGAAAGCACATCATCTAGAAAAACTGTTGTTGAAGAGCATGTAGTTTTAATCCAGGAGCCTGGTAGCAATTATTTGGGACATGTGACACCTGAAAACGGGACGGCTAAAAAACTTGCATCAAGTATTCTTAGTTATATTAACAAAGCTAGTAGAGCTTGTTGCTATTGGCTGTGATGGGACAGTAGTGAATACTGGACCCCACGGTGGGGTTATTCATTTATTGGAATCACATCTCAAACGACCTGTGCAGTGGCTGATATGCCAACTGCACGCAAATGAGCTGCCACTCCGTCATTTGCTTCGACATCTAGATGGCGATACTAAAGGTCCTGCTTCATTTTCAGGCCTCATTGGAAAACTCCTTGAATCATGTGAGAAGTTACCGGTCGTTCATTACAAAAAAATCGGGACAGAATTACCTAATGTAAACTTAGCAGAACTCAGCACTGACCAAAAATATTTATACCTAATATGTCAGCTATATCTACAGGAAACTGTCCAATTAGTTTAGCAAATAAAGCACCGGGTAAAATGTCTCATGCGAGATGGCTCACTACTGCTAATCGGATTTTACGGGCTTATATTGGAACGGAGACTCCACCCATCAATCTTAATATTCTAACAGAGTATATTTTGAAAGTGTATGCAAAGGATTGGTTTTTAGTAAAATATTCACCTTTATGCACAAATGGGGCTCAGCACTTGTGGAAGCTGTATCAGTTCTCAAGATATTTAAGCGACGAGTTAAAATCTGTAATTGATCCATTGATTCAAAGGAACGGCTTTATGGGCATCCAGAAAATATTTTAATTTCCATGATATTTGACCCACGCCGACATATAAGAGAACTGGGATTTAGGAAAATTATGAAATTAAGATTAACGGCTAACAACAATAAAAAGTCAAACGATACAATTAAAAAATTTCAAATTCCTTCATTTAACTTTAATTCTGAGTGTTATATTGGTTTAATAAACTGGCAAGAGTGCACTATTACAGAGCCTCCACTTACCAAATACCTATCTGATCAAACTATTGAGGATTTCATTAAGACCGGCAATTTTCCTAAAGAAGATCTGTGGAAACTACCCTGCCACACACAGGCGGTTGAGAGAGGGGTTAAGTTAGTAACACAAGCGTCTCTGGCTGTCTGTGATGAGAAAAATAGGGATGGTTGGATACGTACAACAATAGAGTCCAGAAAGAAAATGCCCAAATTTATTACAAAGTCAGAATATGTGGTGAGCACAGAATAATCTAAAATGCCCACATGAAAGGGTGGTTGGGCGGGCAGGGGTGGAACTCGATGGCAGCCACCTCCCCGTGGTGAGTTCTGGGATATTTTGAGTGTAAGTATTGCTCAAAATAAGCGAAGAGCTGTCTTGTAACAATTTTGTTAATTTTAAACAAATTATTTACATTTTTGGATGTGTGGCGGGGGGCCTAAATGTACTTTACTTTACTTTTGAAAAAAAAAAATTGAGGATTCAAAACCAAATAAAACATTCCCCAATGCAGGCCTATAATTTTTTTAATATTTATATCTTTTTATTTTTGGGGGCCCGGCGGGGGGTCTAAATTAATTTTGTAAATTGAAAAAAATATATTTTTCAAAATAAAAGCCCAACCTACAACTTTTCCAACCACAGTCGTTCTAATTTTATAAAAAATACTAAAAAACGACCCACCCTAATATACAGGGTGTTCGGGAAAATGTGGGAAATATCTTGGATTCAGATAGAACATGAAAAAATAAGATGACACGTTCCTATAAAAAATTTTCCTACTGGCCCTCCGAATACGTAGGCCCCGAAAGGACGCTGCTGCAAATTGGTTTCCCTTGAATAACTTTTTAAGTACTGCATATAATTTAATATAAATTAATATGATGGACCCTGGTAAGGATCTCTTAAAATAGTGTCCTTAAAATATTTTTTGCTTTATTTGTTTACCAGGGGCGAACTAAGTTTTACACTTAATGCTTCAATTTTGTATGATAAAGACTTAAAAAAAATCTGCGTAGCTTGAACATTAAAGTAAAATAAAGGTACTCTTGTTTATTGTCAATAAAATGAACCGTTTTTAAGAAAAAGAATAATAAACGAATTATTGTTTTATATTTAATAAAAAACCCGGTTTCGAGAAAAGGAATAATAAACGAATTATTGTTATATTTTTAATAAAAAAGACCATAAAAAACCTAATATATCGACAATTATGTCGATTAACCAATCCATGTAAAAAAGGAGCATTTATCTGAAAAGCAGACATTGTAAAGGGAATTTGGATTGCCAATACACCGTTCACTCATTTCTTCTACAAATTGTAATCGTCGATCATAATCATCCTCATTAAGTTCGTGAAGCAATTGTATCTTGTAGGTGTAAAATTTGTGAACCTTCAAAATTCTCCTTACGCTTGTTCGTGATTTGCCGGACAATTGCCTAGTACTTAATGTGTTATCCATTGTAATGTACCCTAGGACTGCGATTTGCATGCTTTCATTCCTAACGACACAAATCGGATTACCTTTTTTGTTCTCCACTGTCTTTTATTAAAAAGTCGTGCTGTTTGTCTTGCACAGTCATTGTTTTTTAAATAAGTATGAACTAATTCAACTCGCTCAGCTATAGTGTAAACCATAATTAAATTTCGTCACAAGCTCTCGAACTAACGATAATAATTTTGATGATGATCGTGGGACAATACTATTGTAAATAAAGTTTACAATAAACACACTTTTTTCTTCAAACGTAAAAAACTGATGTTTTGCTGCTAATTACTTTAATCGTTTGGCAAACCTACAAACTTGTCACAAAAGTATCGCTTTTACTCAGGACTAGGTACTAAAACAATAGTCTATTTCCAAGATTTTAATAAGCTGTATTTCTTTCTGAAACACTTCTCTACCAGTCAAAATCCATTCAGTAGTTTTGACCAGACAAATATTTTATTATTAGATAATAACAATTAATATGTACTTTTATTTATTTCTTATCCTAAAGATATAGGGTAATATTAATGCATAATACATTTTAAATATGTTATAGGCATTCCCGATATACCCACACAAGTGAAAATTTTAGAAGGACGTAGAAAAAAAATAATCTACATAACCTGGAATCCAGGTAAATTGGGTAATTTTGATGAAAAAGCAGGAACTGTGATATATTTAATCGAAGAAAGGCATCATCCCGGTAGAAATTTCATCGAAAGTCATTTATCCGAGTGGATTCCCTGCTCGAGGACAATAAAGTTCAGCCAGATTTTGAAGCACCTCGTAAAACCCGGAAGGTGGTATCAATTTAGGGTGGCAGCAGTGAATAGCAATGGTTCCAAAGGATTTTCCGAAAGCTCGCAACCATTTAGCATGTCATTAAGTTAGTGAGCCTTTTTATACATTTTAGCTCTTTAGTATGAAAATTAAATTCATGTATTTTTTAAGTCTACCAACACAAATTAATTTGTGGACTGTATTGCGAGAAAATACGCATGGTACAAAGAACGAATCAATAACAATATTAGTTATTTATATAATTTTATATTTTATTTAAAAGGTGTGAGGGTCAGTTTATACAAACATATAGGAATTAAACCTATTTTTAGAATAACTGTCAATAAAGTTTGTCTTCTTTATTAGGTCCCAAGCCTCCAAAAGCTCCTGAAAACGTTACTGTTGGACCCCTATGGTACTTAAATGGCAGCTTAAATGCAGAACTAAGATGGTCGCCTCCATCATCCGACTTACCTTTATATAAGTATAAAGTATTTTGGAGTAGACGACTTCATGGGGTTAAAGCATTGGATTCTGTATTGGTGCATCAACAAGTTATTCCCAGGGTAAAATATTAAATAAATTAAGAGGTTTATTTTTTGCATAGGTAACTCCATTTTTGAAAACGGTAAAACAAATTACATGCTTCCTTAAATATATTCATTTTCGTTTATAAATGAGCAAGATACAGTGGCAGTGAAAAAATCGATTGTCCAATTATCTTTAATGGATTTCGGAACATAAATTTCATTTAAAATATCTGTGTTTACATCTTTTTCCCTTAGCACTCTTATTTTGTATTTTCTCTCCACGCAGTGCTTTGCTGGACCACACGTATTTTTTTGGCATACTCCGGTCGGAATGTACCTAAAATATTTAATTATTCCAAATATAAAAACACTTGGTATTTTAAAATTCTGCCGTGCTAAGCTTAAAGGTCGTATCTGCAATATTTTGTAGTAAAGGACAGAAGAAAATTTTAATTTTAAAAAACGATAAAAATGGCTTTTTTGCTTAACTACTAAATATTGCAGATATGAAGTTTTGTCTTCGAACGGCAGTTTGTGGTAGTAAAGAAAAAACTTGTTTTTAAAAATTAATATTTTCTTCTGTCCTTTATTACCAGATATTGCAGATACGTCCTTTTAGCTTAGCACGGCAGAATTAGCCAACATTTTTCTGCAAAATAGAAATGAGCTTTTAAATTGTTAATTTTTATGCATTTTAAGAATGAAGATTTATTCACAAAATATATTTTTTATCAGTTAAAATCTAAATAATGTATAAATGTATAAAAACAAAAAACTTCACTTCCTTATTTTAATTTTGACGATTGACACAGTAACTTTTACAAAATTGATTTCAAACTTAATCTGATAACATAATTTATATAACAACATGATTTCAGGTATTTTTATATTTTATTGTATACCTACTAAGTAGGAGAATTTACATGTAGAAGTATTTTAAAAGAGTCAAGCCACGTCAAGTGGGACCAGAAAATTTCACGAAATCACCGATTCTAACGTTCTAACGGAAAGCTGGGCTGACGAGCTAGCATCGAAGCGCGCCGCGTACTGATCAAGCGCACAGCGGGACAAAAAATTTAATAAACGGAAACAAATAAAAAATTTCAATTGTTTAAAATAAATGTATGCAAAATTATTCTATTTAAACAAATTTACCTTAATTAAATGATCATTCAATAGTCTGAACATTTAATTCAATTATACAGAGTGGTCTCAGATAGTGATGGGTCGTGATTTTGATAACGTGATTTTGGAACGTTCCTAAATATATCGAAACGATGTGACAGCGGATCGAACTGAATAAAAACAGAGAATCCGATCATCGAATGAACGGAGCGAGTGGGAAGGGAACGACGTGAAACATGGAACAGAACGAACGTCGCTAATGTCGGAACTGTTTAAAGGCGCAGTTACCTCGTTTCGTTTCTTGTTCGACTTTCGCGGCGCGCCGCACTGTGTCGTATTTGACCTGTATAGGTGACCAAAAGTCGATTTCTGAAGTTGCCCTTTCAGCAAAAAAATATACATAAAATTGATCCTTATGCTTTTCTTGACAATGTACAACCATTTGTTTATTTATAAAATATTAATAAGGACCGTGACGTATAAAATTTTAAAACAATGCACAAACACATTTTTTTATATAAATAACTCGCGCTTGGTAAATATGCGATTAAAACTATAAATTATAATTAACAGGAGTTATATTTGGTAGATTGCTTTAAAATAAATGTCTTTTAAGGTATAACGTTAAAAATTAAAAAAATATTTTATTTTATATATAGTAATAGCCGTCAAAATTTTGTCATTTTTTGAACGTGCATTCAAGCAAACTTTTTGCAAATAGTAATGGTGCCCCAGGTTGCCCCAATTTCTTTTGTGTGTGGAAGTGTTTGTTAATATATGAATAATGGTCGTTATTAAGGATTTTGACGGGAAATGTTGAGAAACTTGGCTACACTTGATTTTATGTCAAAAAATGTGTATTAGAGCTCATTTTTTTAAACTTTTGTCTTTATTTTCCGAGTTTTTTTTTTAAATCTGGCGCCTTAAAATTAATTAAAAACATAAAAATAATAATTTAATTTAATAAATTTAAATAATTTAATAATAATAATTTAAATTTAATAAAAACCAATTTGGTCATTTGAAAAAAAAATGTCATGTTGCTTTGACGCAAATACTCGAATATATATTTTTTTACTTTTGTCTTTAGTTTTTGTAAAATAAATCATTCTATATAAATATATATATATATATATATATATATATATATATATATATATATATATATATATAGGAAAGCCCAATTCAGAAAAATACAATATACTACAGGCCCTATAATAATGGAACCTGAACAGCTGCACGCTTATAGGGATAAAAGATTCCTCGATTCTAAAAACCCGAGACACAGGGTATAATAGACCTAATTAGGTCGCAGTACAAGGGCCAGAGCTCCCCTGATCCTATAATAATATTTAAGAAACGATAGCCAAGTGGCTATAAAAATAACTTCTTAACTTTCTTGCTAACAACATCCATTTCAAATAGCCAAATTTAGCAATCTAACGGATTTGAGAAAAATGAATGGCAGATGAGGTATCTAAACAGAAAACTTTAACAGGATAAGAGTACAAGTGCGGAATCCCTTTTAGCTCTGCAAAAGGCCATTAAAATCATAAAAAAGTACGTAGAATAAAAAGTTGTAAAAATCTAAAATAATAAAATTGGTATCGTCCCAGAAAAAAATGAACACCCTGTATAAATTAAATTACAACATTAAAAAATATGTATTAATTCAAATATTTTTGTTTCCTACAAATTTTTCATGACTACAGTTGTTTCTGAGATAGGCATATGGGTTATCTTACGTGGTTCACCCTGTACTTAGCTTCTTTTAATCCTAACTAATGGTAAAATTTATTAAAAATGATCTTTTTGTATAACAAAAAAAGCATTTTCAATATGTTTTTCAACAAAAATATTTTTGGTCAACTAATCACTCTGTTTACGACATAGTGCGCCGACTTGAGCTGAACTTAATCGGTGCATATATGCACCGATTAAGTTATATGTAACCAATATAACGAGGCGGGTGGAATCGTTCCGCTGGAACGCACAGACAGGTATTTGGACCTAAAACGTGGCCAAAAATCAATTTTGTTAATTTGTATGCCAGATCTAAGATTTTGTTTTAAAGAAGTTAGATAACATGGCTATCTTTTGGTGTAGTTGAAACTTGAATTGGCCATCCCAGTCCGATGTACCAGCAGCTAGAACCTAGCGCTCTTTTACATCGTTCGCGACACTCCACAAAAAAACAAATTTTTGCTGTATTGTTTCTTATGTTAAAAGAGATTTTGGTGAAAGAAATTCATATGTATGTCGTCAATTAAGTATGTACAATATTTTAGGCAATATTTCATTTGTGTTATAAACTTTATTTATTTATATCTAGTACTATAATTAACTACCTAGAAATTCTTAATTTTTCTCGTTTTCTTAAACAAACAATGGTGTTTTTAAATATCGGCAACACCTCGCAACGGCACACAGTGGTCTGAGAGGTAAATTTACGCGGCAAAAATTATTCTTTAAATATTTTTCCCAAGACGTGTGTTTTTAATGTTTTTAAGGGTGCTAAATTTACTTCTTATATCAATTTTTTCAAAAATATTTGGTATTGAGGTGGCTAAGTCTAGCCAAATGATATAAAATGATTTTTTTTAATATTTGTGTATTTTTTGTTTTCTTATGTTTTATATTTAATAATTTATTTATTAAATAAATAAATGTTTATAGTTCGTACCAGGGGGCGATCGCCAATGTTCGCGATTGCAACATGGCGCAAGCATAATTTTTTATCATGAATAACCGAAAAACCATTACCTTCAAAGTATCAAAAATATATTATCATATCAACATTTTACATTTCACCATATTTCTTTTTAACAACCCTTTAGCCAATATCGTGATGGTTGACAATAGTAAAACTTGTTATTTTTATTATGCGTTAAATACTCTTGCTTGTTTTAAAAATAAGATTCCTATAGAACAATAATTATTGTACTACCTTCTTAAAGCCATTTGCTGTTTTTTTTATTTTCTGAGCACCCTGGACATTTAATTAAAAATGTTTGTTAGGAATCTCATTTTTAAATACAAGCAGAAGTTTTTATGAAGAATGATTTTTTGCGATTCCGTTACGAATATCTTACCACATTTCCCTCTTATTTTGATATATATACTTTTTTTAAATTTCTGAGCACCCTGTATATATAATTCATCTTTTTATGAAAGTCTTAATTTTTAACCATCAAATATTTTCAAAAAGAATTCATTTTTCCACAAAACGCACTTCTAGTTTTTGGGTTTTTTTTAGTTTCTGAGCACCCTGTACATTTAATTCAAAATGTTTGTGTAGGAATCTTATTTTTGAAACAAGCAAGAGTTTTTAAATAACATGTTGTTTTTCATACCTAATAAAAAAGTTTTTTTCTATTGTCATTACCATCCGTGGGCACACTGTATAATATACAAAGTATATTAAAAAAATAATATTATGTAATAGGAGTAAAGAAAATTGTATTACCATTCTTAAATGCAATAATTATTGTCAAATTTAAAAAATATATTACTTTTATGACCAGGTTAGCGGTAATTTGTCGGCCATTTTTCATTTTTGCATAACTCTCTTATAGGCGCATAAAGGCAGATGAATTTTTATAAAGTCGAAGCTGGAGGTTCATATTTTCGAATGCACTATGTGGTTCTGCGCAAGTAATTATAAATTTTTACTTATATTCCATTTATTATTTGTAATTACAATTTGTAGGTTAAAAAAGGCTATATTTTTGTCAAAAAATCCAAAAAAGACATTTTAAAGTTGTATTTGTACTCAACTTTATCTCTACTATAAATTTTTGACACTAATTTTCACTACTATATTTACGCAACACCTTTTTTACACGAAAAAGACAAGATTCCGAAAGTAAGAGTATTTTTGATAATCTTTTCATGTATTTGTTATAACGCAACGCATACGCAGTAAATTTTACTTTGCAGTTTAAAATCTTAGGTAATAATCTGTCACGAACAATAAAGAGGCATCAAAATGCGTTAATAAAGTGTTTTAAAAATTGGATTTTTGCCGCGTAAATTTGCCTCTCAGACCACTGTGCGGCATCAGCAATACATTTTATTAAACTTTAGGATATCTAGAATAATTGCAGCCATCAAAATCATCCACATGTTTCCACATCACGAAAAAATTAATATATGTTTAATTTTAATATTTTTATTGCATTACTTGCATGTAAGTAGCTACTTTGTGAATAGGTACATACTTTTTTTATTTATAGTAAAAGTACCTAATATCACTTGTATATCTTTAAAAATATGTTTGTCATTTGCTACCCTTTTGATAAAGAAAAAGTGCTCAAATATTTTTGGCCACGTTTTAGGTCAAAATACCGGTCTGTGGAACGGTGCATAAAAAAATAAGTTTGTTAGGTAGGGTAGATGGAATCCAATATACCTAATATTGTACAATTATTAAACTATAATACCAACAGTTACTAAAAAGGTTTTTTCTTACTAGAGAATCTTTACTAGAGATAGACAAAACATTCAAGGAATCAACAGGTTTTTGTGTATTAAAGGGGCCCCTAGATGTTTAAAAAATATTTTGCTCAATATTACTGCACAAAAAATTGATTATTGTCCCTAAGCAATCAGACAATGTAAATAAATATAAATATTGTCAACACAATGTTAACTAATCCCCCAATTTAAATTGCTTAATACAACATATTGTGCAATATTATTGATAGTGTAGGGACCTCCTTAAACCTTATAGTGTAGAGTGTATAGTGTATAGCAAAAGTTACAACATTTAATTTTGGTATTAAATTTGTTATGGTGCGGTCAACAGAACTGAGAGGCGCGCCAGACAAAATGTAGCCCAGCAACGACGTGTCGTGGATTCCACTCGCATGTATTGTGAAATCATTTACCCTACGTTCCGAAATCACGTGATTTTGGTACGTGATTTTTTAGGAACGGAACGGTTTGGTACGTTCCGGATTGGGAACCGTTTTTGCCATCACTAGTCTCAGAGATTCTATTTTTTCAATTTTACTGTGCTCTAATTAAAGTTTGACAAAATTATTAATTTTAATAACATTACCAAAAATAAAGAATTTCAAAACAATTTTTTACTGTGACATATGCGTCATGCCTACTACACAATAATGTGATTATTTTCAAAATGGGTGATTTTGTGAAATTTTCTGGTCCCACTTGACTTGGCTTGACTCAAAAGTAATAAATGTCAGAATAAATTTTACAGCGGAGAGTTATTTGTTTCAATTTGATCATTTAGGATAATATCAGATTTTTTTAGTTTATTAATTTTAAAGATTACAATACATTTAACTTTGTTCATTTATTTGCAATGTGTAAAATTTTTAAATTATTGTTGAATGTGTAGTTTTCTAGATGTAAATAGTTTTGTTTTTATCCACATTTAGGTATACATTAGTGACATGGAGTTTCATCAAGCAAAAGTCGAAACAATACAATATTTATTTAAAATCTAAATCTAAATCTAAATCTACCGCAGTAATATCGCTAGTTACTTAATTATAATATCTTTATTAAAATTATGTATATACTAAACCTTGGAAAATATGCAGGACCTAAGTCGAACAGGTGATAGTCCATTCCACATAAACACATATGGTGGGATACATCTCCCATCTAAAATAATTATTTATGATATAAGTTTAGGACACATCCAAGGTAGTGATGCCCTCGAGACAAACGAGACAAGACTTGCAATTTTAGCATTAAAATCGCATTTCTAAAGTTACTAAATTTATAAAATGTCATTTTTAAATTCAATTGTCCATGAAGTTTAATATTGCTAAGGTTACTGTAAATTTCCTGATATGGAAAGTAAATTTATTTCGGCGGAAATTAAAGCTGCTAATTAGTAATAATTCGTAGTAAGTAGTAAGTTAAAGTCAACAGTACGAGTTTGCGTACAATAGTTTATATAGTCTTGAGATTGTTTTGTCTTTCAGTGGCAAGTTCAGTAAAAAAATGATGTTGGCATATAAAAATTGTCACCGCTTTGGTTAAATTATTCGATCATTCGTTTAAGGCAATGATGAACTTAAAAAATCAGAACATAAGCAAATACTACATTTTTTAAAATAAAAAGGCACAGAATTACCCAATCGACATATTTCTTTTTAAGATTGGATTCAAATTCAGCACCGAAAAAACTTTTGGAAATGTTGTGAACTTGTGTATCAAATGAGGAGCTGCATTCCAAAACTCGGCTTATCCATATTAGTTGATTTATGAGCAAAATGTCAAAAACCTTACACGTGAGTACTAAAGCATATCAGGCCTACAGAATACTTTAAACGAAATAAATAGGCATAATTATAAAATTTATATACCTTGATTAAAAAGGTATAGCTCCAATTTGAAATAATTTAAAATTACAAACGTATAAGCCAGTTCTGACATGATATAACCTATAGATAATGCAAGTTTTGGAATGATAGTCAATTTGTAAATGAATTTTAAATGGAATAAGATGAGTTTTGAAATATTATGACATTTTCAGGGTATAGGGGGCTACATATTAAATGTACAGACACCACTAACTCATTTTTAGTAAAAAGTGGATAAGCCGAGTTTTGGAATGGACCTCCTCAAATATTTTATACAAAAATAGCATATTTATTATAATAGGTAGGCAAATAAATACAAAATAAACATACAACAACTTACTTACATACGCTTTTTTGTCCACCGCATTTTTTAAAACATAATCTGCTTTAAAAGTCTCCAAGTCATCTAAATCTTTTAAAAAATCATAATAAAACTGTTTATTTGGAATTTTAGATATCTCTTGAAATCCATGCATTTTTTGTATTAAGAACATTAACAAATAAATTAGCTAGAAAATAGTAGGGAAAATTATTTAAATAACATTTTTTAAAACTTACTTGCACAGGCATGACTGTTTCTAGGTATTAGGAGAATGAAACAATCGAGAAGAAAATCTTCTTTTATATTATTTAATACAATAGTTACATTACCTACTTAAGTTTTTATATATGTAGGTATTCTAGGTATTATCATTGAGACTTTACTCAATGGTATTATGTTACAGTCTAATGGAAAATATTCACTTACATTGTTATAAAAAAAATATAAAAACCTAAAAAAGTTTTTTACGAAAATTATTTTATTTTAATAAATAGGTACCTATGTAATTATTAGTAGGTCATTGTTAATTTTTAAAGGCCGGACTTTAAATTTAAAAAAAAGGCTCTTCATCAGCACCTAAATAATGAAAAATATACACAAAAAACGAAAAAAGGTACACTAATATAAATAAAAAATAAATAAATAAATTCTTTTAACAAAACATAAATAAGTAGGTAATTTATATTTATAAAAACACCAATTTAACAAAAAAGCAATCCCTTTTTAATAGTTTTATTGGTAATATGCAATTAATATACCCCTAACCCGTACAAGCCATTCAGTTGGCTTATGGGACTTCTTAAAAAGTAAGGGTGGAACTAAAAGAGCACTTTTGTATTTTTGTATATCTCATGGCGGATGACCTTGGGTGCGCAAAAGTCTCAAATCCGTCAAATCGCGCTATTACTCGCCAACCTAAAAACATACTACATAGGGTAAACAATGCTGATATTTATTGACATATTTAGAAGAATTTCTGGGCTAGAAATTCTATTATATTTGTTATAATATTATAGCGTCTCTCAAGGTCAACCGCCATGGGATATTAATATCACTTTATATTTGCCATTAAAGTAGCAAACAATATTTTTTGTTTGTTAAACAATATTATGTCGGTTATAATAAATTTAAATCGGTGTTTATTTATTTGAGTGATATGGTCGGCGCTTCGGTGTGTCTGCATACTAAAGTGTGTTGCGATTTAGCTTAATATTTTGTTGAGTTAAAAAAAGGGTGTTAAAAAAATATATTAGCATTTAGGCAAACATTTAGGCATTTTGGTAATTCTTTTAAGGGCCGATTTATCCATCTGGTTAATTTCCAGTTAGTCTGTCTGACAGTTATATTCCATATTGATCGTTGTGAGAACAATGGTAACCATGGAAATTAACTGGCCCTAAGTCGAAGAAAGGCAAACAAGGCAAAAAGGGATTGGGTTAAATTTTACTATTTATACTATTTACTACTTATTTTGCACAAGTGGCGTAACTAAGCAAGTGTGCCCCCCGCGATATTTTGATGGCCCAAGATTTATAGGATTTAAAAAATTAGGTTTACGGACGACCTTTGTCCAAATACGTTGTGTTCTAAATTAAATTCTTTATACACAAAAATACATATATTGTATTATTTTCCGAGAATAGGACGATATTAACGTTATAATAATAATAATAATAATAATAATAATTTTATTTCCAAAAATACATTTACATGCATGACATGCATGTAAATGTATTTTTGGATGCATTGCATGTGTATATAAAAATATATGGATATAACTATTATAATAAATAAATCCAAAACTAGATAAATTGATCAGTACCAACATTCACAATTAATATCTATAGCTAAAAAATTCCTCTAAAGAGAATAAATTGTTTTTCCAAACAACATTTTTGTTAAATTTTTTTAAATTGTTTGCAATTTGCAATATTACGAAGTTACAATTGATAAACTCCTATTAATATAACGATAAAGATATACTATGGATGGACCACAGTGTATGCAGAGGACCACAGCTGTGGTCCAGACCCTAAATTTTTCTGATCTTCGTAACCTTTTCAAACATAACAATTTATTAGTGTATATATGTTATAGGAAAAAATACTTTAAATAATAAATTATTTATTTATTATTTTTTGTACAATACGAGTTTATAATTTTTATGTATATTAATATTTATATGTATATTAATATTATTAATATTTAATTTTCAGGACCAAAACCACTTTATGCTTCATAATATCCAACCCAATTCATTATATTTTCTTCAAGTTCAGGCTTTATCCCAATTTGACAAGGAAAGGTTAAAAGGAGATAAATCTGGGCTAGTTCTTAATACAACCAACTACACGAACCGTATGGATACGTTTTATTATCCTAATAATTAGTCTTTTCATATTCTTAACGTCAAAATCAAATTTGTCCCTGAACAGTTATTTAAAGAGAGCGAAAAATTGTTTTTAAATTATGTGCAAGCACTCCTAAATAAGCCATCGAGATCAAAATACTTTTAAAAATTAAAGAATGGACATGTTTATTTATGACCAAATTGCATTTGACTTGTTGGTTTTTGATCAGTCCTACCCTTACTCGAATTTTGAAAAATTGTGATTTGCTTTAAAATTTGTTAAAAAGAGAACGAATCGAAAAACGAAAAATCTGGTAATAAAGCAGGGAAATTATTTAACGTGAAAATTAATTATGCCATCTCGATGTCACGTGATTTTATAGAGAGCTGTGATTGATTGGTTGGACGTTTTTGGCTATGGCTCTTGTTTTGGCTCTAAATTTAAATAGGAAATATTTATCACTTTTAAGGTGGTTACAGGCGCGAATCGCAACGAACAACAACCAAGGGCCCTATACCTACTCCAGTTGTGACACTAAACCATGCGAAAGTGGGAGGAGCTACGCAAAATCGTATGAAAGTTTACAAAAGCGTATTCTCGAAACAAGGAATTGATTATTTGTGATTGGTGGGAAGTAGACGAACGTGTGAATATTAGACAATCGCCACATAAATATAACCTTTAAAGTAAATGCCATATTAGAGTGTCTTATTTGTAAATTTTACCAATGAATTTTGACGAAATTGTATTAAACAATTTTATAAATGATCTTGAAGATGCAGAAGAACAAAATTGATAAATAACGCGATTGTAACAATAGGCTGGTAAGTCAAATTTGATCGAGATGAAATTTAAATCAATCCGTGCACTTGCCAACGAAATGCGACAAAGCCGCAAAATGTTTCTCACCTTAAATCTCCCATCTCATACTTTCGAGAATACGACTTTTCGTTATCATTCGATGACGGTTGGATGTGAAATATACCATCACCGAAGTGATCTTTCGCTTCGCTTATTTTGGAATATAGTGCCCCAGTGATTCGTATTTTCGGGACTGGACAAATTTGGTTTTGACCAAACGCTCCTCAATTAGTCTTAGATCTTATTATTGGCCTTGTTTATAAACTAAACTTAACAACCAACAACACTAAAATTTTAGTTACTGATAATAGTATATCCGTCAATCCAAATGCAATAAATCGAATAGAAGGTCTTCACATGCAGAAGTTGTATTGGTTCCAAGGAGACTTGAGGGCTCGAATATCTTGGAAAGGCAAAAAGAACTCCACTAGATACACTGTGACCTGGTGGGCAGGTTCATGTCATGCTAGGAGATCCGAAAAAAACAGCTTTAAACTAGCAGCCACAACAAAGGTAAATTATTAAACATCTTCAAAATAAATATGCGTTATACTTTATTTTTATTTGAAAATTGGACGTCGGATTGTTTGATGCCTCATATATAACTATTCCTAGTTACGAGAGCCATTTAAAAAGTTTGCGGCTTTTGCTCTTTCTAATATAAAGAGATTCACACTCCAACTGCTTGTTTTAAATATAATTCGTTTTTAAAGATATTTGTTTTTGTTTTAGACATCTCATTTTGATCTTTACGATCTACAATTTAATTGTAGATATAGAGTTAGTGTGAGAGAAAATTTGCCAGAAACAATGAAAATTATGCAGGATACATCGGTAACATTTACTACACCGTCCTGCAAGAGATTTAAGAAGTTCAACAACCAGGATTTGTAATGACTATTACAAAAATGTTTATAGATTTTTATGAGAAAAATACACACTAAAATGTGTACAATTTTAAAAAATTAACAAAATTGGTCAAAATTCATAAAATAATAAATAGAAAAGATTTTTTATATTTTGATCAAAAATTATTATTATAATGTATTATATTGTAACTTTAATAAAAATATGTAATTGCTGATTTTACGAAGTCTGACTATTAATTAAATACTTAAATATTTCGTCGTTATAAAAGATTATCAGGTTTTTACAATTATTAAGTTTCAAAAAATGATATTGTTCTTATAGAAAATTTTTATAATTAAAATAATTATTTACCTAATGTTATTTAAGATAGGTCCCCGCTATGGCAGCGACATCGTACGATATTATGTTAGTTTAGTGTTAAATGTAAGAAAATCCCTTGTTTACGAAACTGCAGTTATAAAATAAGTCCCTATAGAATGTCAAAAAATGGTGTACTTACTACAGGATTTTTTGGCATATTTAAGTATATCTATTATACCACTAGTGCCTCAATTAAGCGTGCCTGTTTGTAGGGCCGCATGCATATACAATTCGGAGGCCCTGGGGCCAACATTCGGTGGAGGCCCCTTACACTCTTTTGGGTGTACCTAAATAAACTTTGCAATTTCTTATTTGCAAAAGTGTTGTTCCAAACTGAGGAGCATTAGATTCGACAAGCGTTCTTTATTTATTTGTTGAATTGGTTTAATTTGTAATTCCCATTTACCCTTAAAACCGATTGATATCAATTGATTCCAATAAAAAACAGTACAAATACACATTTTATTTGTTTTATTGGTTTATATCGGGCATTTTCGCCAGTAATCCGTCCATGACTTATAAGTACATGCGAATGCTATTTCTGAATTGCAAAAAGTAGACTAGGTAGGTAGAATATTTCCAATAAAGAACATTTTTATTCGATTCACCCTGTTTCATTTTATACCCACCTCTGTGCAAAAGTGGCGAGATGTATGTATGTAGCTAAACAATAAGATAAGATCATTCGAATGTACGAGATTCTCACCCTTTCAAGTTTGAAGGTTCCATTGTCAGTACCGGGTTTAACAAGGAAGATTTCAGGGGCGACGGATTTTTATCACTTACACTAGATATAACGCTACTTTTTAGGTTGTCGAAGAAAGAACTTTTTATACGAGAGCAAATAAGGGGCGGTCCATAAATGATGCCACGCGTTTTTTTAAATATTTTTGTTGAAACAACTCTTTTATTTTTCCCAGTGTATATACGAGCCCTAACCACATAATGTTCGGACACTTTATAATTTATACAGAAATTTTTTTCGTGAATACTATCTCAAAATTATTAGAAGTTATGAAAAATTCAGCTTATTTTGGCATATACCCCTCGAAGCGATTTTTATTTTTAAAAAGTTTACCTTTTATTTTTAGCTTTTAAAAAAAGGCTAACTTTTTAACTTTTTTTTGTATGAGTAAAAAAAGTTATAAATGGACCCATTAAAAAGAGCATAAAATATTATACAAACCCTGAAAATTTGGTAAAAAATAAATAAGTTATAAAAAAGTATAATTAATTTAAAAATGCTATTTTTAAAGAGTTTTTGCAATTTTCTTAGGAAACGGGAGATTTTGCAGATATATATATCGCTATAACTTTCTTATTATTTATACAATTTTTACCAAATTTTCAGGGTTTGTATAATATTTTATGTTCTTTTTAATGGGCCCATTTATAACTTTTTTTACTCATGCAAAAAAAAGTTAAAAAGTTAGCCTTTTTTTAAAAGCTAAAAATAAAAGGTAAACTTTTTAAAAATAAAAATCGCTTCGAGGGGTATATGCCAAAATAAGCTGAATTTTTCATAACTTCTAATAATTTTGAGATAGTATTCACGAAAAAAATTTCTGTATAAATTATGAAGTGTCCGAACATTATGTGGTTAGGGCTCGTATACATAAAAAATTAAATTAAAAACGTTAAAAAAATAAATTTACAATATTTTGTATTTTAAGTAGGTATTTTTACTTAAGAAATTTTCTCCCTAACACGGTGTGCCTGAACGAAGTTTAAGTCACATAAAAATGCCGCCAAAAACTGATTGCAGTTTCTTATACCAAAATCCTAGCTGCTCCTCTTTTCAAATTTTTTTGAAAATTCAGCATTTTTTTTTAAATTTTTGTTTATCTTAAAGTCTACCCAGCAAACCAAATCATGTCACAGTGATATAACATTTACATAAAAATTGTTCCTTACTATGCAACAGCTATGTCACTTATGTAATAATATATAATTAATATGTAATGGCAATGCTCCTATGTCCGCCTCAAGACCCCTTCCTGGGTATGTAACTGTGATGTAACAGTGTTTTATCATAGCTATGTAAGTGTAATGTTACAGCGCCATATCATAGTTATGTAAACGTGATAAAACAATTATATTCTATTTACATAAATGTTGCATTCTATTTACTTATTATTTATGCAATATTTACTTATTATTTATGAAATATTTATAAATATAATTTCATGTAATATATCTTACTGGTATTAAAAATTGCTTAGCCTTAACTTGGTATTATGGCACTTTTCAAATTTTGTTATTTTTTTTTCTAAAATTCAGTTAATTAAAAAAAAAATCAACAAAATTTTAAATTTGCCGTAATACCAAACTAGAACTAAGAACTTGTTAATGCCAGTTAGATAATATATTAAATAAATTATAAATAAATATTACATAAATAATAAGTAAACGTTGCAGAAATAAATGATTCTGAAAGAGATTAAATTAAAAAAAAAATTGGTTAAAAATGTTCATTTCTTCTTTCTAAAGGGGCCAAATAAATCTAAAAACAAACATTGTAAAATATGAAAAAATCACTTTAATTTTAATTTTAAAACCGAAAAGTTTTTTAAATTTTTCCAAACTTTAACAAAAAAACCCAAATACATTAATACTTCAAAGCCAAAAAATATATGGTAAAAAAAGAGAAAGCAATCTCATGAATTTAATATTAATATACCTTATTTTCATGGGTTTTTTGTTTCCCTCACAAATCTTTGTTTGGCCTGCCGGAACCATTCGGTAACTACGTTTTCAAAATTTTTGTATGTTGAAGTGCAAACAGTAGCTTAAAAAAATATTTAATAAAAAAACCCATAAAACTTACATTTTTACCCTTCAATATTTCAACAAGTTTTAAATTTTATATTTTTTGTTGTTTCTTAGGCCTAGCCAAGAGGAATATTTTGCTAGATTATTAGAGAAGATTTTTTAAAAAACTTTTCTGTAGAATCTTTTTCGGAGGCGCCTCCAATTTTTGTTATATACTGAAACTTAAAAAAAATATAATTTAATATTATTTTTGTTAATTGATTTGTTTTTAAAACAAAGAACAACTATTCTTTATGTAGTTTTGTAAATGATATTTGGTACAAATAATAATTTGTTTCATTTTATTAATTCAAGTCAAATGCACCCTGCAATCTTAAGAGATATATAAATAATGAAAAATATGAAATTTGCATAAAATTAATTATCACAACAATTATAATAAAAAAGTGTATCCATCTTGGTTATTTATCAAAATTATTGTATCCTTTACCAGTTGAAAAAACAGTATAAAGTTAAAAAAATTATAGAAATTAAACTCTTATTTTGGCTAATATCATTAAATTATAATTTGTCGCTTGTTTTTAGCACCCTGCTTTAAAAACAAATAAACATTATCAAAAAGGTTTAAAATTGCCCTTTATTTACTTACAAATTCAGCCTCTACTTCTTTTTGCTATAATGTCAAAACTTTTAACAGATCATTAATAAAAAGTTGACTAGGTAAGTATCTATTACACAAATCTTGCAAATCTTCCACAAAAGTATGGGAATTTTTCCTATGTTCAGCGGTAAATACGTCGGAAAATCTTTGTCGAACACCCAGCACAGACCACTTTTTTTTGTGGACCTGTGTAATTCAAAGGACTGTAACTTTGAAACAAATAAAAATTGATATACAAGTTTTGCGGGTTTTCCTCCTGAAAATAAGTCTACTTTATGCTCTCAAAATTTGAACATAACGATACGGGACACCTTGTATATCATTGTTTTAATGTAGGTATAAAACATTGTTATATAGCCATGACATAATAGGGATGTAAATATAACAAGAAGGGATCATTTTGATATAACTATTATATTAAAATGTTTTATTATAATTATGTAACAAAATAACTATAACTATTATATTAAAATGTTTTATTATAATTATGTAACAAAATAAAGAAAAACTATGTAAATACTATATAATGATGATGATGATACTATAAAACATTGCCATATATCAATGATGTATCATTGTTCCATTGTAGATATATAACATTGTTATATGGCTGATACATAAGGGGGATGTAAATATATCAAGAGGGGAACATATTTATATAAATGTTATATTACTATGTTTTATCATAATTATGTAACAAAATAAAGGACTAATATGTAAATTTTATGTAAACAATTTTATATGGCAATGTTCTTTGTTAGTTATATCATGGCTATGTAAATGGAACAGCCTGGTTTGCTGGGTATAGTATACTATAGTATACGGCTACAATTGAACAAAAAAATTTTCTATTTGACATTTATCTATCGATGACTTTGTAAAATAATTTAATAAATAATCAAAATATTAACAAAAAAACTTACATTTTGAGATAATGGGGCAGAGCATTTTATAATAAATAATATAAAATATTTATTACGCAATTATTTCAATTCCTAGACGTCCTTGAGCAAAACGAGTGGCATTTTTGAAATCAGCAACCCAAAATTAGGTAATATAGGTGGGCGCAAAGATAATATAAAAATATATCTTTGGGTGGGCGTACTCAATGTTAGTAATTCAATGTATCATAGTGTAATAAAATAATAATTAATTCAAAAAATATGAATTATATTTTCTTAATAGGTAAAATGGCCAATAGTAAACATATTTTTCTCCAAAAATTCCCAAAAATATAATTAATTAATACAGTTATAAACACTTATGTG